CGGAAGGTTCGGCGGGCTCCCACCCCTACCACCCACCGCTCGGGCCCGACAGGGACCACGGCGCCCACGCCAAGAAGTAAGGGGGTCTCCGGGGACGGGGTGATGTCATCCCTGTCAGGATGTGGGAGCTGGTCTCTGATATTTGGGGTACAGCTCCATGCGGGCAGCCCGGTTCCATCTGGGCAAAGCTCTGGGGGCTGAGCTGGGGACCAGGGTGGTGTTGGGATGCTCAAGGGATGGGGATGGGATGCTCAAGGGATGGGGATGGGATGCTCAAGGGATGGGGTCGGGATGCTCAAGGGATGGGGATGGGATGCTCAAGGGATGGGGATGGGATGCTCAAGGGATGGGGTCGGGGTGGGCCAAGGATGGGGATGGGATGCTCAAGGGATGGGGACGAGGATGCTCAAGGTATGGGGACGGGATGCTCAAGGGATGGGGTCGGGATGCTCAAAGGATGGGGATGGGATGCTCAAGGGATGGGGATGGGATGCTCAAGGGATGGGGACGAGGATGCTCAAGGGATGGGGACGGGATGCTCAAGGGATGGGGACGGGATGCTCAAGGGATGGGGTCGGGATGCTCAAAGGATGGGGATGGGATGCTCAAGGGATGGGGATGGGATGCTCAAGGGATGAGGACGAGGATGGGGACAGGGATGGTGAAGGGAAAGGGGACAGGGACACGGATGGAGACAGGGATGGGGGATGGTTATGGGGATGGCGATGGGAATAGGGATGGGGATAGGGAAGAACTACAGTGGGTCAATGCCAGCACGCTGCAGGAGTGGTCATCCCTGCAAGGGATTATCCCAGTGCGAAGGGCAGTGGCTGGATGGCTGTGTAGGATTATAGGGTGCAGGATCCCAAGTAGGCGAGCACCCCATGCTTTATAATCAGGGATGCAGCCCAGCCAAAAATAGAGGTTGTGTAGGTGCATCTGGTGCTCGCCCAAGGCAACCTGGGCTGCCCGGCTCCCGTGGGGACACCCTGCTGGCCATGGCGGGCGGGATGCGAGGAGGTCTGACTTCACAGGGTGAAGGAAAGGCACCACCGGGGCCGGCCCAACAGCAGCTCGGAGTCGTCGGCCAAACACTCCCGGCACGCTTCGGAGCGGAGGAAGAGCCCGTCTCCCAGCCCCGGCCAGCGCAGCAGCTCCTGGAGCTCCAGCGGTTCCCTCTCCAAGTCCCGCTCCCGTTCCCGGGAGAAGAGAGCAGGACGCAGCCGCTCCTGCTCACCCTCGCCGAAAAAACCCGCCAGCAGGTCAGCCTCCGGGGCAGGGGGGGACTTCAGCATGGAGGGCACGGGTACCAACCGTGGGCTCAGAGGGCATCCACAGCTCCGGGTGGTCCTGGCTCCCCTGGGGCTCGAGGAGGGGGTTACAGGTCATTGCTGGCCCCGGTGACACTGGAAGCGCCAGCCCCAGGTGGGGGTGTCACCCCCAGCAGAGCTGCTGTGCATGGGCTGTCCCTGCATCCCACCCCAACCCCCACCCCTGACACTCCTCCTCCTCCTCCTCGTGCTGTAGAGAGAAGGACAATGAGCCCCGAACACGCCACGGTGACCCCGATCCCACCCGCGCCCGGCGCCGCTCCAGGAGCTACTCCCCCATCAGGAAGAGGAGACGTGACTCCCCAAGCTTCATGGAGCCCAGGAGGATCACGAGGTGGGTGCCGGCATGCCACGAAGCCTCTGCCACGGCCGCTGGCACGGCCCGGGACTGAGCTGCGCCACCAGCCAGCCCCAAGGGATGCGTGGGGTGGGTGGATGGACGGCCGGACAAATGCATGGATGGATGGATGGGTGGATAGGTGTATGGATGGACAGACATAAAGATGGATGGATGGATGGATGGATGGATGGATGGATGGATGGATGGATGGATGGATGGATGGATGGATGGATGGATGGATGGATGGATGGATGGATGGATGGATGGATGGATGGATGGATGGATGGATGGATGGATGGATGGATGGACGGACAGACATATGGATGGATGGATGGATAGGTGAATGGAGAGACAGACATACGGATGGATGGATAGGTGGATAGGTGAATGGATGGACAAATCTATGGATGGATGGATGGACAGGTGGATAGGTGAATGGATGGACAGAAATACAGATGGATGGACAGGTGGATAGGTGAATGGATGGACAGACATATGGATGGATGGATGGATGGACGGATGGATGGATGGACGGACATATGGGTGGATGAGTGGATAGGTGAATGGATGGGCAGACATACAGATGGATGGATGGATGGATGAGTGGATAGGTGAACGGACAGACAGACTTACAGATGGATGGATTGACAAATGGATGAGCAGCTCTGCAGAGGGATAGATAACCCTGAGGATGACCAGCTGGGTGAATCAGCTGGAGCAGACAGACCGATAACCAGGCTGCCTCCAATATTACAACCTTCTGATCTCTTCCCATTTTGAGGCATGAAAATAGGAGTTCATTTTAATCTGCATGTGCATATTCCAGCAAGATGTACGGCCGCAGGCGTGTCTCTCCCCTCCCCTCCAAAAGCTGGTTTCTCCTCCTTGAGATCCTATTGACTCAGGATCCCAGGCTGTAAGACAGGCAATATTTAGTGCCAGACGAAACACTGTGTGCATATATAGTACCTCGTTAGCATGCAGCGCTGGCGGCGGTACCGGTGGCAAGCTGAGATTACCTCGTTCCTGACCTATTTGTCTCTCCTGCTATCAGCTGGGAGATCGGGGCCCTGGGGTGGAGGGGATGGATTTTCAGAAATCAGCTCTGGCTCACTGTGGGAGGGTTTGAAGTTGTAAGGAGGGGAGGACAGGAGAAATACCGCTCAGGCAGGGGGTCAGAGCTCCCCGCGGCCCTCCCCGGTGGATGCCCTGTAAAGAACGCGGTTCTGGGAAAACCGCTCCCAGCCCAGAGGAAGGTTTTCCAGCCTGGGTAGCACCCGCTGGTTTGGCATCCCGCCCGCTCCGTCCCCGAGCTGGGTTTTGCTGGGATGTCCCCAGGAAGGTGGCAGGGCTTGGCTGGAGGACACAACCCGTGGTCCCTGCGGGGACCGTCCCGTCCTGTCCCGTCCCCATCCCTGTCACCCATCCCTAGGACGGATGGGGATGGCACACCAGGCTCTACTTGGGGTTCAGGAGGCTGTTTCTGCGAGGCTTGGAGGATGCTGCAGGGAAGGGGCAGCCAGGGGAGCCCCCCCAGCCTCCCTTGCCTTCCCCGTAGCCCAGCCAGAAGCCCCAGGGCTTTTCCTTGCCCTCCCGCCTTGTCCTTGGTCCCCATCACCTCCTGCCACCCCGGGATCCGGCACCGTGCGGTCCTGCCTCAGTGATGCCAACATTTCCTTTTCCATTTCATCCCAAGGTCCCTCTCGGAGAGCATCGCCGCCAGCCTGGCTCCCAGGGTAACCTCCCCCCTTCCTCCTCCTCTTCTTCCTCCCGGACCCCTCTGTGTCACCTCCGGGCTGTGCCTGTGTCTCTCTTTAGTCCCACTAACACCGGGCCGGGAGAAGGGGGCAAAGGGCCGGCTCCAGCACCGGCTCCGGACGTCGCTGCCCCCCGTGTCCCCCTGTCCCCACTGCCCTATGCTCTCACCGGACGTCGCTGCCCCCCGTGTCCCCCTGTCCCCACTGCCCTATGCTCTCACCCACGTCCCTCCTCATCCTGGGCCCCCGGCGGGCCGCAGCTCGCCTCCCGCTAATCCTCGACCTCTCTTTTTCAGCAGCTTTCGATCTTTGGTGTCTGGGAAACACAAAAGCCACATTAACCTGCTCACTTTCTGCCCTCGCCGCTGCCTAATCCAGGACTAACACCCCGGGTGGGGGCGGGGGATGGGGGGGACTGGGGAGGAGGAAGGGGATGGAGGCCGGGGTGTGTGGGGGGATGCGTGTGATGCTGAGCGGCCGCATCCTGACACCCCGAAGCCGGGCTGAGCTCGGCTCCCCTGCAGGGATGCTGTGGGGGTGCTGGGCAACCAGTGCCGGACCACCCCCC